CTAGATCGGCAAAAATGAATACAAGTCAGGCCAAAAACAGCTCAGAAATCGCGACAAAAAACACGTCAAGCATGCACATGTCGACATGTGCAAGTGTGCGTGTGTGTATGTGTGAGCCATGTTGCTTTTGGCTTATGTATATGTTGGCTCTGATTAGTCATGCCACAGAGTGCAATGCAATGCAAATGCAAATGCAAAGGCAAAGCCCCAAAGCTGAGCTAATTTACATGTATGCATACTTATGCAAATTGCGCATATGTATGTGAGAGTTTGGCTAACTGGGTCTGACACCTATGCTGAAGTGGGCGTGGCAGGAGTCTATATAACACAATTTTGTTGCTTTCATTGTGTTCGAGTATTTAGCACAGTTTTTTAAACATTCCATTTGCATACACTAAATTTTTTCTTTCGAATTTTAATGATACGTGAAAATACTTTGGGGAGGTGGAAAATGCATCATAATGATATAACAGCATTAATGCATACTTATGTAGCTCATGGGAAAATCTATGAGCGAAAAGCTAAAATGAAAGTAGAAACTAGCGTTAGTTTTGGGGAAAAATGATTTATTTATGAAAAACTTTTGAGGTTTGAAATAACGAGCAAAAATTTGATATGAAAGCAAACTTAATGAAAAATAGCTGAAATATATATTGATTATTATATTAACAATAATCTTAACTCATGTTGACAGAGATTTTATGAAATATTTTGCCTGGTTTTGCCAGCTAAATGAATATATTAGATTAAATATATTATAAACAAATCCCAGAAACATCTTTCCCTGGATGACTTAAATGATCTTAGCCTTTTAATTCGTGTGTCAGTTTTAGCATAACTGCTTGAGAGATGTTGATAATCAGACATAAATTTGGAAAGGCATTCTCGAACGTGTCTATTGTGACAATTGTTCATTGTATGAATAAGAATTCATGCTATTTGGTTGAAAATTCTGTGCTCGCCCATTAAGCTGGGAGCATTTAAATTTTTCTTTGTGGCGACTATTTGACACGCCCAACTTAAAGCACAAAGCGATTTAGACATCATTAAGCTTCAACTTCGAAGTCAGTTAGAGACTTAGGTTCCCAAAAGAACACAAGTCAAATTGTTAAAGGACGCTAGCAGATACCCTGTAATTTGAATAGACAACAACTATTTAATTAAAGGCACATATTAGTAGAATTATAGAGTTCTATTCTATGAGAAATTATGATAATGATTTCAATATAGTTATTCTGGGAATTTGTTGATGAATTAAATAGAAATTGAAGAAATAAGCTGGAGGATGGAATAATTAAACAACAATTCTTATACTGAAATAATCTTATGCTTATATCATTAATATAAAATATATATATATTAGCTATAATTCAGATAATTCAGCAATCAATGCTCGCATTGGCCCAAAACAGTCATACCCTCTCTGCTCAATCTCCATCTCTCTAGGGCATAAAGCAGCTATTAAATACTGTTTCTTTTATGGTACCGCTAAAAACTTTAAAATTCGCTCGCTCTCAGCTTAAGATCTCGTCGTAGTCGCCGTCTCTGTCGGTCTATTGTCAATTCATTCACAAGTCGATGAACAAGAAGTAGCAGAGGAGGTTAGAGAACAGTTGACGAAATGCGAAAACAAAAATTCTTCTTCTTCTTCTTCTTTTTTTCATTGCTGTTTCGCATTTGAAACGTTTATGATTATGAAATTTCCGTTCCGTTCATTTACGGCTAAGCACAAAAGGCCAATGCTGTTATACAAAAGAGCATGTCGACACATACCGCATATATAATAAGTAATTCTCTTCTTTTTTTCTCTTAATGGCATTTACATACCCTGTAGACCAAAAGACCGTCTAAAGGTATGTAACAATATAGTTAAATAAATAAGGAATTTTTGATATTTATTTATTTAGAAATAAAAAAAAGTTCAAAGAGCGCTAGAAATGAAAAATTTGTAATAGAATAGTACGTGAATATAAAAAATAATATATTAAAATTGTAATAATAGT